TTTAAAACCATTTTGATCTATTCCAGATAGAATATATATACATATAAATAACTCTAGACAATTAACACAGCGCCATCTAGTCCCACGGTAAGCAGAGCTTATATTATGGGTACTAGGCAACTAATATAGATACTTAGATTTTTGTTTTTTTGTAAATACATACGTAATCTTTATAGAAAACACCCAGACCGATACAAATAATTTTTCTAATGAATACAAAAGGTTTGCTCAGTTCGAGGAATCGACCTCGCGAACATCGGAAGTAAACGGTGTACTTTACCGCCAGATCACCGAGGCCCTCAAACCTTCTGTACAATCCGAAATACGCCATCATGTTGTTAAGAGATAACAAACAAACAACAAAATCAAATTCAGATTTAAAATATTGGGATTTATTGTAATAGTTTTCTCAAGTTGCATCTTTTTTAAGGATTCCTACATACAGTTACTGCCTACCACGACAAATTATTAACGACTTATTAAAACCTATGTCATTGCCCCAACTTTCAAACTTCCTCGGCGATTGCAATAGACTAGAAAACACGAACTCGCATAATTATGAGACACAACAATAGGCCGGAATAATTATATAAAAAGCAGTAATGAATGGTGTAACAAACACGGTGTTAGTTACAACGTCACGCGGTCATTACCGGCGGCGGACCGTGACGGGTGTGGATCATAGTCGTAGACGTCATAATAAATCGAAGTGAAAACACGATACATAGCACACGAGGCAAGGACGTGCCGTGCAAGACGTAGGTGTATTACACACATACGTCTAGCGTGTTGCCTCGTCGGTTGTTACACACAAATTCATACTTGTTGTAGCATCATAGGTGTTAATATGTTAAATCAATTAATAGTGAAATAAAACGCTTTTCAAATAAGAGTTTAAGTATTCTATTTAAAGCAAACAGACATGTTTTATATTTCTAATTTACGTACTTATACATACGGTATGTGTAAGTACGTAAATTTTAAATTTCGTATCATGAGGAGGCAAGAATGCAAGGACGTACCGTGCAAGACGTAGGGTGTATTACACACATACGTCTAGCGTTTTGCCTTGTCAGTTGTTACACGCAAATTCATACTTGTTGTAGCGTCATAGGTATTAAATTAATTAATAATAAAATAAAACATTATTAAAGCAAGCATTTACATCTAAGTTTTGGTTTTAAAGTGAACATACACGTATATTTGAAACCCACTTACTTATACATAGCGTATTATAGCGCATATTCATTACAACATATACACACACACACACACAAATTAAAAGAATGTTGCTTATCATATATATTTATATAAATCTTTAGAAATTATACCTTCATTTGAATCTGTTCAAATTCTTTATGTTTTGTAAATCAACTGATTTCTTATATACAGTTTGCGCTAATTTGACAATCAGGACTGCATCTTGTATATTCATTATTTTATAATTAAATTATTTTACTTGTTGATATTTATTTCAATCTGTCAATTGTTTAGTACCCATAATATATGGTCTGTTTAGTCTGAGCGTTGCGTTTACTACAATGTCGATTGTTTATAAAGTCATGAGGATATGTATGTAACAATATATATGAAATAGCATACATGTGTATGCATATAATCTTTACATTGTATAAAATGAAGTCGCCACCGCTGTCTGTTCGCTTATATCTTCTAAATTACGCAACAGATTTTAATACAGTTTTCATCAATAGATAGAGTGATTCAGGCGGTAGTTTTATCTCTATAATATATACTTGTTATAGTATAGAACAAGCTGAGAAATTCAAAGATTTGTACTAGATACATGCGAAGCCAGTACGGGTGGCTAGTAACTATATAAATAATTCATATAAATAAATAAATGTATCTGAAACGCACAAGTCATACGTTGTATTTGGTTACGTCACAAAGGAGGAAAATATTTCAATCTATTGCTAATGTTGGTATGTTTCCTTATTTCACATATAAGTGTCATTGGATATTCAGTTAAGGAAATCCCATAAGTGATCCGGAGATGTAACTGTCACAGTCTTTGCGTAACGGATTAACGGTTGAGTTGTGGGAATTACGTATTGGGAATATGGTAGTTGAACGATTGAGATTATCGGTTTCGAAATATATAAATAATCCTCAATCTTAATTATGTAACCATGTTTCTAACAATTCCCATCTGATACTGATTGAAATCTACAATTTTCTAGTTATATTGATCATTTAATAGTTGCAATTGCTGTTGCAACTTAGCTCGCATCTGCAACTCTTAAATGGTTCATAGAAAATCGCAAACTCATCAATTTTATTACGTAATGTTAGGGAATTGTTAATATTGTTACATCATTAAGGCCCTGGACTATGACACTGTATCATGATGGAAATACAAAAGTAAGAAGAGCTTGTTAGTTATATAACCAAATAATAAAATACTAAAATCAGCTACTATCTATTTTTCATACTTCTAAGTCATCATCATCCTCATCACAGCCTGGAAGAAATCCACTGCTGGACAAAGGCCTCTCGCAAAGATCTCCACGACGAACCTAAGTGATAATATTATAACTCCTAACGTTTTTGTTTATTTATTCGACAATTTTTGCATTAATAAATATATACAACCCTAAATTTTCACCTTTCTATCACCAACCCTATTTTTGAAAAGCGATATTAGTACTTAAATTTTAAACGCAAAACAACGTTTACGGGATCTGCAAGCAGTATATATTATTTTTTACTATAAATATGCCCAGCTCGCGAAGTTTGAGATCCAAGGATTTATCACGTTATCGTATTACTAGCTGTGCCCGCGGTTTCACCCGCGTTAAATTTCAATATAAAATATAGCCTGTGTTATTCTGATGCATAAACTATATTACTGTAAAGTCTCATCAAAATCCGTTCAGTAGTTTTTGCGCGAAAGTGTAACAAACATCCATACTTACAAACTTATTATTAAGATTAAGATTTGTTTTCAATTGCGTGGAGCACTTTATAAACGCAACAATATAATAATTGCACCAAGAGACTTGTTGCATGTTGTTACTCACTCTTTATTGATATATTTTATGAGCAATACACTCGTAACTACAGGTTATTGTTTAATCTGTTTTATCGGTAATATAAAATTAATAATACGCAATTTAAACTTAAGTTATACATACTTAATTTGTTATTTATATTTAAGCTTAGTTATTACTTGTAATTTATATGTCAACGTGGTTCGTAATCTTGTAAGTATTTTTTTTGTACGACTATGGTGGCAAACGAGCTTATGGCTCTTCTGATGGTATGGTTACCGTAGACTATAGACGCCAGTGGTGTTACGTGCACGTTGCCGACCCTTAAGTCGGCTATTGCAATATAAGATCTAATTTTGTTTATTATTGTAGTTTAACCCTCTAAATAGGGTTGCTTATTCAGTACACATAACTACTAAACTAGATATCATATATATCTAGTTTATATTTATATACTTCGTTATAAACTTCCTACATTATACGATTGGAAATGATCAATATTGATAATCGTTATTGGTAAATCGTTATTGGCATATATCTTTAAAACACATACTTTAATTATTCTATGAATGTCCTAGTCTTTCTAAGTGTTAGTAATATTGTAGACATGTTTCTGTTGAAAATATTACAAATAAAAAATTTTTTCTGAGTTGAGTCGTATTCATGTCGGTAGCTCCCACTAGCGGAAATATAAAAGCTGATCAGCGCTGCCATCCTCTTGACGCTGTATCAGCCCAAATTAGTGATGGCAATTGAAAGGATTTGAATTCTTATTTACAAATATATTTAGAAAAAAATGGCTCTATACACATAGGTACTAGCTATTCACCGGAAATGAATCTGCTTTTTTTTTAGATAATATATTGCGTTTGTTTTTGTTTCTATAATGAACGCGTGTCATATGTTTCTGTGTAAATATTATTTATAGGTTTATACACATACCACAGAGTGGTGGCAATTTATTCCTAATTACTTTTACAGCGTAGGAGTTTTAGCTAAGCCATAAGCAATTTAGCAGGTCTGAAATGGCCAATTTTTGTTATTGTTTATGTAATAGAGTTGGGTTGTCGTAAAAGCTATAAGTTGCCGTCTTGTGGCCTTCGCTTTTAGCTTTATATGACATAATTATATTAAAGAGTTATGTACTGCAATGAGTATGTAAGAATGTTGTTTGTTTATCATTAACTTTTCAAATATGCATATATATACTGCGTAGGATTATTCGATAACGGTTAAGGATTTTTTAGGTGGTTAATAATATAGGGAATTTGGAAAACCCTAGAAGTTCCACTGAAAATCCAAAATCTCAATATTGGTATTGGGAATCGCAGGTTCAAAACCAAATCAAATAATAAAAGAAAAATGATAAACTGTGTTGCACTTGAGGTCTTTATTAAATTTACAATATACGAGAAGAATAATTATACAGAAAGAAACAAAACAATATAGCAGCTCTGTTTGACCGTCCTTATTTACATGATAATTTTTTTTAAATAGGTACTATTTAATGGCTATTTACGATCGCAAATGTCGGTCATCTTGTACATTAGTGGTTGATCAATGATCGAAATTCGACCAATATATATGTACATATACTGCCCACCTTCATGAAGGAGGACTACTTGCCGAAAGGTGTGGTGCAATGTGGCAGATTGGCGCATCAGTGTCGTGACCACACAGGCAATTTTAATATATCAATATATTAGTTATATAATATTAAATCATATGTATGTTAGTCTATAAGGTATATATGATATAGGCCTAGTAGCCTGAAATAAGAATAAAATAAATAAAGCTTTTCTTCGCTTGGTAAGAAAGAGAGTATAATACGAGATGACTCGGAACAGGGATGAATGGAAGAGTAGAATATATTACGCCGACCCCAAATAAATGGGACAAGGAAGAAGTAGATAATGATGAAAGTTTTTGATTCATGTATGAATATTGTGTATGTGAATCGTAATAATGGTGATAACACATTGTCGGCAGGTACGAGAAGTGGGAGCGCGACCGCGGCGGCGGCGGTGGCGGCGGCGGCGGCTCCGGCGGCGCGTGGTCGGGCCGCGACACCCGGGACCGGGAGCGGGACCGAGAGCGCGAGCGGCTCGCCCGCGCCAACCAGATGTCGCACGCGCACGCCGCCGAGCCGGACGCCTCGTCACTCTTCCCGGCACCATTCAGGGTTTGTATTTGTTTTTATTGACGAGTTGCCTATACACCACATGGTCTTTCACACGCGATCAGGAACGCGCGGGAAAACGAGCGCGAGCAGTTGTGAAAAATTTTTTAAACTATTTTTTGGGTTAAATTTTTTACGTACGTGATTGAGAAAATCAGGGCAATTGTGAATAATCTAACATTCAGGGTTAGTATTTTTCACGCTAACGGTTTACGCTCGCGGGGCACCAGTGGAGGATGATAAGATGAGGATGAGGTCAGGTCAGTTAGCCCATGGTAACAAATTCACCAATTCCAGTGGAGGTCAACCTTACAGGAGGTAAATTGCTAGCACTTAGATCATCAGTCTATATTACTAACAATCCCCTTTCCCTCCAGTATTTTTTATTGACGATTTGCCTTTGCACCACACGTTCTTTTACACCCAACAAATAACTTTGTACAACGTTTACCAGTGTGTAATATTTTGGGGTTTTTATTAAGTCTAGTGATATGTATATGGAATATATGATGTCATGTATTTATGGGGATTTTCCCGCAACTAACGTTTTCCGCGATTTTTATACTTTATTTGTGATAAGAGTGACGTTCTTTGGTTTGGTTGATAGGTTTGAATATGAAAAACGAACAAACAGTCAGATTGTGTTACCTATTTTGTAATAATAATAAAGACATTCAGGACTAGCTACCCGCCCCAGCTTCGCACGGGTGTACATATTTAACATATAAACCTTCATCTTAAATCACTATCTATTGGTAAAAGCTGCATTAAAATCCGTTACGAAGTTTTGAAGATATAATCGAACAGACAGCGTAAGCGTAATTTTATACTGTTAGATCTGTATCAGTAGTCCACAGTAATGTATGTACTATATATGACTTAAAAATTAAAACATACTGGTAACCCTGAAAATGACTCCCACTCAACATTTATACTGTAGTATAACCAAGTTATATTACAGCGCTGATTTTCAATGGAACTACCAATAATAGTTGAATCTTCAGTAGCCATCGACTTTACAACAATTCAGGGGTCGTAACTCCATTTCACGAGGGATGAGTTTCGCCTGGTTTGGTTGATGTTATAGAATCTGTTATAGTATTTATAATACAACATCTTGGGTTTTTTAAGTATATCAGTAACTACATGATGTCATGTATTTATGGGGATTTTCCAACACTAACGTTTTATGAGATTTATAGAAATGAATAATTTAAAATTATATCCAATATTCCAGTCTTTATCCGCGTATCAGAATAAAGAACCATTCGTTATATGATTCGTTTGTTAGAGAACGCTAACGCCTAGTGGTGACTGCCTCGATTTACGTCAAAATGGTCGTGAATTCAAACCTGGTGGTGGTAAGCTCGCGCAGTATGTATGTACAAATATATGTAATGGATGATTATGGTAGGATCCTTGGTGTACCAGTGGAGGATGATAGAATAAGCATGAAGTATGGTCAGTTAACCCACGGTCGCAAATTTACCAAAAAATAACGACGATGGCTTTTAGGGAGATTCAGACCGCGTGGAGGTCAACCTGATATAGTATATTGGTAGCAATGAGGCCACTAGGTCCCTTTCATTATTAACAATCCATTTCCCTTATTCCAATTTACCTAGCGACATGTGGGCATATCCAATATTGCTCTTCTCTATATCGACAATAGACAGTATCTCTGTATACCACATCTGGGGTATACCATAGTCGTGAAGGTTTGTTGTTTTTCGTTAGATGATCTGTTGAGGAAATATAAAATTAGGTGCCGCTTCGTAGGAGCGTATGAATTATGACAAACCGTTTATTAACTGGTTGACAGTTAATAAACAGTTCGTCTGATACTTGAGTGGTTGACATATTGTCTATATATGTGTACTAGTACACATATATAGACAATATGTCAATATATGTAATGTTACGGCCTCTGCGTCAATCTGAATCACCCTAAAATAGAACTTGCTACGCTATCTGAGTATTCTATAATAATAATAATATGTCTTGAAATATTTCATTTAAGCTGTTATAAATACATTTGTTTTTCGTAAATACAAAAACATACATACATATTATGTCCTAGACGATACCAACAAACATACTCATCAATAGAAATGTTTGTGCCGTGCGAGGAAAGAACCCGCGACCATCGGAAGTAAGGCGGTGTTCGAAACCGCTAGACTTCTGAGGCGGTCAAATATAATATATGTCATTATTATATGTTTCGGTTGAAGAAAGTCATGACATCTCAGTCCTCTGGAATTACAACACATGAGTAGTGTTACAAGCGCATGATAACCGCATTGCTGTGCATATAATTATATGACATTACCACTTAACATCTTATGGGTCGTTAGCTTGTTTGTCATCCCAGTTACATAAAAATATTACATAACAAGTAGGTATATTATCTATATAGATATATATATCGTAATAAACTATTAACCTTCAATTTTATTATGGTTACAATCTATTGTTGTCGATGAAGCGTTAAGTTCCGATGTCCTCAAATCGAAAGTCATGTATATCAACATTTTTAAATGGTACTATACTATGTGTAGCTATATAGTAGATAATGGCTAGATACCATACTAGGCTCTAGCAGTACGAAAAATTACCGTATTGCTAGAATCTACCGTGCGTGTATGATAACACTGAGAAAATAAGTGTTTAGATGAAAAAATCACAGCGTAGAAAACAAACCTACTAACTTCATAAACGCTGGTTTAGAATGAAATATGGTACATAGATGGAGTGTATCTATCTAAATTGATATTTTATATAGCTTGCACATATTTCAACTCTGTTTGCATCTCTCTATAAGTTCTGCCGTAGGTTTGATGTGCCGTATACACTCGCTCCTATTTTCGTTCGGTGAGACTGTAAAGACCAGTTGTCACAAACATATAGATATAAAAAAAAATAAGTGATTTTTTTTATAATTGAATAGATAAAAAAATTGTTTTACAATTTGTTCTGTTTACTTAGTTAAAGATTTATTTAGTTTTTAACGTAATATCCATGTATGAATACGTCAACTTTCTAAGAAGCTTTAATACTCTTCCCAAAGTATAATCTATTGCATTATAGCCTATTGTTAAACAGCACTATGCATTTTTATACCACAAGCAGCTCATTTCAACACCTCGCCTCATATCCAATTTAAATTGAACCCTGATAAGACAGCACACATCCCCTCCATGACCACAAGCTCTAAATATACCGCAGGGCGCGGGGGATCATTCGCTTCTGGCCGTGCCAATGTTAGTTAGTTCGAGGCCACGAGCTTGTTTACGCTTTGACATTCGTAATTACACTTATATACGTTTCGTGTAGAAAATTGCTGCCAAATTGTATGAAGAGTTGTTAAATATTTACTTTGCTGAATTACGTCCGATTCACCACCGAGGTAGACTTTTATAAAAAGGCTGCGTAGGTACCCACCTCAGTCAACAATTTCAACCGCCAAGCGGCTTGCTTTGTAAGCGGTGTTTTAATGAGTCTGGCAGTGAAATTACAGGGTATACATGAAGGCATGCAAGGGTGTTACGGTAGTCACCTGATGCCGCTATCTCTGTCAACAATTTCAATCGCCAAAAGGCTTGCTTTGTAAGCGGTGTTTTAATGGGTATGGCAGTGAAATTACAGGGTATATATGGCGGCATACATGGGTGTTACGGGAGTCACCTGATGACGCTACCTCTGTGAACAATTTCAACCGCCAAAAGGCTTGCTTGTAAGCGGTATTTTAATCGGTATGGCAGTGAAATTACAGGGTATGCATGGGCGTTACGGGAGTCATGTGATACTTGTATTTCTGTTCATGTGTAAAGGCGACGGTTACCACTTACCATCAAGTGTGTCGTTATGTTTTTTTATATATATAAAAAAGCGGAAACGGCTCGTGTCGATTGTGTTTATATCACAACTATTTTCGTGTTAGGAAACACGGAATTGTATTTGTTGAACGTTCTGAATGGTTATGCGTGTTCCGCATTGGTCAGATCTAGGGTTGCCACACGTGGTACTAGAATATCCTGGAAACTAATTTTGCGATTAGAAAAATGGCCTGTTGGTTCCTATACGAATAAAAAGTATAAGAATGTACATACATCGGCGATTTAAATTTAGTATTATTCATTCCAGAAGAATTAACTGCGATGGTTTTCAAAATTAAATAACTAATAGAATAGAATAGAATAGAATAGAAAATCATTTATCCGAAGAATCACACTGAAGTTTTAATATACACATATATTTTTTTATTTGTGGTTTATTTGGCTCATGGTCCTTTGAGTGTAAATTAATTAAGGAAATTTTGCTTTTAAACAACCAGATTAGAAATAACTTTGTATTGAATTCTATAATATTGTTACTACATGAAACTTTGCTTGCAAGGTTATTTATATGCCAAGTAATACCTACGCTGCCTACAGCTAAACGCATCATCAAACAGCTATCAGCATAGATATAATACGACTATTACAAATGTCCCGCACTAACAATGCGCACGGAGAAAAACAATGACTGTTCAAAACCGTCCGGCTTATCCGTGCTGGCTGCACTTAGGGATGGCCGATATTCATCGATGTTTATTAGAAAAAGAATCGTTATTTTAATATCGATGTCAACTCCTTGATAAGATAAAAATATCAATGTAAAATTTTCGATAATATTACCAGAAACTGGTCATTCGAAATGTTAAATTACTCAATATTGGAGAGTACATATCTGATGCTCTAAAAAAATATTAAATATCAATCTCGATATTTGTAGTACATCAATACGATATAGATCTATGTCGATATCGATGTTTTTCTAATATAGATCATCACTAGGCTGCACACGCGACCCACTTCGCCGGTACAATACATATGCGCATAAACAAGTGTAATTAAACTCTCCCCCCTCCCCAGGCGACATAGTGAGCATTAGGGAGACGAGAGACGGCTGCAGCCTAGTTTAAAACCGACTTCAAAATGGGAAGGCTTTCAATTTGATTTTTT